AACTCGTCGCAGGGGAGGGAAAAAAGGGGGAGAAAGAGGCATTGAATAACGACGCTCGGGGAAGACGGGGAACAACGCTGAACGGCGTTCACGGAGCAGTCCGACACGCGGCACCGCCGGGAACAATGATAACCCGTCCCGAGGGGGCGGGAAAACGACGCGAGGGCAGCGAGAAGAGAATTCACGACGAAACGCCCCTCATCATCCGCGATGCATCCGGATTGAGAAACGTTAAGGTGTGTCGCGTCGAAGCGCGACCGACTGCTATTGCTCGCCTCGACCTACCTACCGTCGAGACGCGCGTCTCCGACATCGGCGCGCGCGCGATCCGGGGGAAAAATACAGACCTCCGGCATTCTCATTCGCGATTTCGAAATTGGACGAGACGCGGCAGAAATTCCTCGCCGAGAATCACCGTGACGCACCGCTTCCCATTTACGTGGAAACTTTAAGCCGCGTCCCCGGCCCCGCGCGCCGCCGCGCTCTCGCCGTTAATCTAGCCCCCACCGCTCCTCTCGCGATACTTCGTTCTGATTCATACTCCGCGAAAGCCTGTTGGGGGTTTTCTTGATTATTGCGGGATAAACGGCGTAACAATGATACAACCGGAGTTTTTCAGCTATTGAAACTCCGCGGGACGCCGGTGAATGCTGATGCTATAAGAACGTTGTCCGGATTCATTGCGGCATTCTAACCGTTTGGTATTTTAATGCGACGTTGGCCGGGTATTGTACAGGATACAAGTTAACTCGTTTCTCCTGGCTGACCGTTTCAACCTGCTGAAATATCGACGGGGGATTGCACCGTGTACCGAGGGTGTAATCAGAGACTTTCTACGGCGCAAATATTTGCGTGTAAAAGCGAGGTTTCATTAATGAAATGCGTGGAGGGTGGCCGGCGGATTCGCGAAAAACGAGCACGAGGAGAGGGTAGCGTAGCTGCGGCCACGGTAGCGCGAGAGCACGCAGGAGGAGTGTCTCAATAGGCCGATAACTGTTGTTGACCAAGCTGATCGACTTAATAACAGTTCCCGGAGGCAGGAAGACCTCGCTGCGAAGAGGAGACGCGCGGGGACGAGCGGGTGCACCCGTTATGCGATGACATCAGGCGCGTAGATGTCCGCGTAGGCATCCGATAGCCTCGTCGAATACTTTCTTCCTCGCCCCGGCGATTATCGCGGATGCGTCATTGATCCGCTGCACATTGCACGAATGTCCAGGACGCGTAATAACCATTCCCGACTTTCGCCTACGGAATGGCGAGATAACAGGACTTTAAGGACCTTCTTGCCGACGACTCGAAACGGACGGAGTCCAGACGTCCAATGGCTACCTCGGGCCTAGAGGGCAAGGCTTAATCGCGTTGCTCGAGGAAACAATGCCTGGATAACCATCGATACTAATTACAGCCGACTCTGTACACGGTAATCCCCGCTTAACCCTCTTCTCTCGAGATGCGACACTCTTATTAATTACTTCCAAAGCACGCATCGGAAAATGTCGACTATTTCTAATGGAAAACATCCGGGAGCAAAGGGTTAAGCCTTTGAAGCTTCTTCGAAGCATATGAGACCTTCAACATGAAGCTAAATTATATATCAACTGGTTAATTAATAGGAAACAAAGAAAACTACGTGATCTCTTGCTATTCGACCAATTACATGTGTCCACGACTTAGTCTTCCAAATCTGAGCATCTCATCTCGAAATTCCGACGTCCGTCTGCAGGATTAATAGCCTCATTCTTCCAGTTAATTGAAGCAGCATCCTCACTGACTCCTCTAATCGTAGGAACCTTCCGCAGCCCGACGGTGGCCGGTTCTCGAAAAAGCTGCCTCTCCCGATAACGGTTGGCGGCGTGGTCCCGAGACGCCGATAAAACGCGGACTGTATTTACGAGCGAGGGAATTTATTACGGTTTAGCGCGATATCGTTCGATACACGCGTCGAAGAATACGATCGACGGGCCGCGGGGGCGAGCGGGGAATAGATCCTTGGGCGTGGAACGAGCAGAAAGGAGGACGATGGGAAATGAGATCTTGTAGGCGAGCGTGAGGAAATCTCCGGAAGTGCTTTTGTTCGGTGTCCCGCGCGGCTCTTTCCGCGGCATCGGCGGAGGAGAGGATAGATATCGAGAGGAGAATGAGATTGCGGAGGACGGAGGATCCTTTTGTGCGCGCGCGGCGCTGTGATTAATGGCGGCACAATGGCCGCGTGCCGTGGGATATAATCGTACGCAACACACGCGGACCACGGGATCGGTTTAATGCCGTTATTGCCGTGCCGTCGCCGTTGCCGTCGCCGCCGCCGCCGACGCCGCAGCTCTGCGATTCCCGCAAAAATCAATAGCGAAGACACGGCTCGCGCGTGACGCAACGCTCGTAATCTTGCCGAGATACCTTGCTGAACGAGCGAGCCGGGGATTATTCCGGTTAAACCGTTCCGCTCGCTGGAAATTCTTCGGTTCCCGGGCAAACCGAGGGAACCGGCGGGGAGCCGGAAGAACGATTCCTTCGGCGCTGCTCGAGAGCTCGTTCGATATATCGATCTCGCCCTTATCTCTGGAGGACCGCCGATTATCATTCACCGATATCTATTTATTCGTACGATTCATTTGTCTGTAGAGCGATCTTCCCCGGCAGATGGGCTTGAATGAGAGAGCCATCAGCCTTGAGCAACTGTCAGGCGATAACAAGATCAATTCAAGGATTTATTCATTCACTCCGAGCACGTTATACGTCGCTCGAACGTGATAAATAAAGTTGCAGTCGAAAGCTTGTCACTCTACGATCAGCGACCGGTTAACAAAGACGTTCGGCTGGAATAAGCATGAAAGGGGTTATCCTTGAGATACGAATCGCTAATCCCGGAGACCAAAGGGAAGACAGACGAAGGAGAGAGGAAAAATTCGCTGGCAACGATAACGGCTAGCTCTGGCCATGCAATCTCGTCCTTATCGGTGCGGCTACGCTCGGAAGACTCACTCTCGAATCCCGCAGTCGCGATCGGAGACAATGCCGGCGCGATCGGCATAAGATAGCCGGCGGATCCGTGGCGGTTCGCGGCGGAACGCGGGCGAATCGGAACGATCGTTATCCGCGATGGCCGGGGATGAAGGGGAGCACAGGCGGGGAGCGTTAATTGCGAGACAGGGGTAGAAACAAGCCGGCCGATTCTCTCGCGGGAGAGAGAGAGCGTGGAACGAGGAAACGGATTACAGTGGCCGCCCAAGCCCCCCTTCGTTTCCGGGCTCGGGAAGCGGAAAATTGAGATGATTACCTATGAAATGAAGCGGGCCACGGCGCCCCGATATTAAGCCCCTCCGAGAACTTTCCTTAATGACCGCGCGAAACGGTCATTAGCGATCGTTAGTTACCCATCCGGCTGTCCGCGGTTCGATCCGTGAACACGGTCCACGGGGTGCTCTCTCGACGACGGGATCCGGAAACGGATGTTTCCGTCGCCGTCTTCGCGCAACCGATACCGGTAATCCTGCACGGAAACAGGGGACCGAAGTATCGGATCGACAACGGTATCGCGAGACGGTCTGTTCGAAAGGTCTGCCCGGAACACGCACAGCTGCGCGCGTTTGCATAGCTCCCCGTTCACCGGCGGTACCTGGTGAACCATGACAAGCTGCATTCTGCGTGATCCCGGCACGCTTTCGTCGGCGCTCGGGACACGAGACGCGTTTAAGCTTGTCTTGTTGCATTGTTCAACGGCCGGTGCTATTTGCGAGCTCATAAAGCGGTCAGCCGCGCGCAGGTTCAACGGCGGACCGCCGCTGCATTCCTTCTGCTCGCCGCGACCCTGCTGCGCGAAAGGTTCCGCGTCGAAGTTGAAAATTAATTGATTACTCGAAGTTTCGAGTGGTTGTTACGAGACATTTGTTTCCATTTTGTTCGTACGCGAGAGCGATGCTCGATCGATTCTACTCGACGAGATTTTATCGTCCGTCAGAGCGAGATCGTTCCTGGAATAGCCCGGCACTGGCACGCTGAACCTCGTCGCAGGAAGCGGAAGCCAGCGCGCGACACCGTCGAGCCGGAAGCGACGGTTAACCGAGCGTCAAGCCCTTCCTATTCTTCGCGTATGAAAAATGATGGGGGCGTATCGGCGGAGTTGCACCTAACGGTGAATCCGCGTCGCAAATATTGTCGGGGACCAACGGGTCGGAACGGCGACAGAAAGGAGTGGCTCCGCGGACAGTTTTTCGTGACGCGCAG